TGTCCTCAGAAAGCACCATAAGTGTAAGCTCTGCCAGCTCAATGTAGTCCTTCTTTGTAGCCCCATCCTAAAAATGAAATAAAATAATAAGTATTTAGGTATAACAAAATAAACCTATTTATATTTTAGTATAATAAAGGATAATAGAATTAAAAAAGAAAAATTTATAAAAAAATTTCAACATAAAAGTACATACTACATAGATACCTACAAATTCAGATATCTAGTTATTGGCTACCTTTTCAGAGACCCACTGGTGATAATATTTCTGCAGAACGTTATGCTTTTATGCTTTTGATGACTAAGCCATGTTTCCTCTGGAATAGTCAATCTTCTCAAAACCTTATTTATTCAAAACGTTAAAAAAAAAATTCAAAGAACTCAAAATTGGAAAAAGAAAATCATTTGGATAAAATAATATTTCACAAAATGGTAGCTAATTTTGTAAGAACCTACCTGGTTGTCTGCATCAAGATCATTCCATGCTAATTTTAAAGTTTTAAACAGCAGATTATCTGGTCCAGAAGTAATGCTACTTTGATAATTTTTCCAGAAATGTGTTATGTGTAGCTCATTGACATGATGTCGGCATGCAATAGATAGAACTGGTCGCTGAAAGACTTCATTTACCAGTAAAAATACAGCTCCATTTTTTTTTCCAGCGTTGATTCTGCTAGTATCAAATGTTACAGCTTGTATATTGTCTGTAAGGTTAAAGCAATTTAAGATATCTCTGATTGCATTTTTTTGATTTTCGCCAGTTCTACAAGAAATGGGTGGAATTCCCAACAGGTGCGTTTCCTTGTTAGCGTTTATTAATATTGCTAGTCGATCTTGTTCCAACTTTTTCCCATCAGTATATTCATGACATACTTTTCCATCAAAATGGAGTTGAACTAAAATGTTCTTATTGATTTTTCTTAAACTTCTTAAATCATCCTTGATCCTCTTTGATTCATCATGAATGACCTTATCTGCAGCGCGTAATGCTGTAGAGGTTGAAGATTTAAATTCAGCTACATTTCCACCCGATTTAGCGATAATACTATTAATCATGGAAGCATGCTGCCTATGACTTATTCCTTCCCCAACAGCAGTATCAGCAGTTCTCTTGAGAATATCTTTTGGAAGCATAACAGTATTAGCTTTTTTGACTTTTTTCTTTAACTCTGGATCTGGGTATGAAAAATCATCATTACCTTCATCTTTCTCCGATCCATTTGAGCTGAATTCACTCTCTGACATGGTTTCATGCAAATTTGATTTCCTTTTAATTTCGGATAAACTCCTGTTTACAGAGTAAAGGTACCTTGTATCTATTCCACCTATTCTAGTTTTTCTATCTCCTAATTGGTCTAATAAAAATGCAATATCTTCAGTCTTGTCTTGATCCTTTCGTTTCCTATCAGCTTTAATGATTGCAACCAGAGTATCGAGCTAAGGTGCAATCCAAAAGATACTTTTCATCTGAGTTAAAAACCTCCTCCTTTTTTCAATCTCTGATAAAGTTTGTCTTGCTTTGTTTTTTTTTAACAGTTTCCAGGTTCGGATCAGCTTCTCTATCTTTATACTAAAAAATGTGATTTATAGGTTCGGTATTTTTTACAACACACCTATTTCTGTTTATTAACTTATTTAACAGCAGACATTAGTTATATTAATATTTTCCGCTAATAAGTAATAATATATAAATAAAAAAAACATATACAGTCTGGTACCTACCTAATTGTTTGTAAATGTAAAATCTGAATTCCACCCTTCAACCAAGGTGTAATTAACTTTGAAAAAGTGCAGCAAATATGTTTTTCATAATAGCAGCTGATTTCAAAGTTTTTTGTCAATAGACAGTGGATAATTCTACTTTCTTTTTGTTTTGGGTACTTCTCCTTCAAATGCAAGAAGTATTGCAAAACCTCTTGCTTTGTAGCAAACTTGTCTTTTGGTAAGGATGACCTGGATTTTCTTACCAAAAAATGTGTCAACTTTTTTCTTACTTTTCCCTGACATGAATAAATCGGTAGTAAATAGCTTTAATTAGTATATGGAGTAAGTATATCATAAGAGTAATCTTTATTTATTTCCTGCGTTTTTTTAATCAAAATTAAATATCGTTTTTCTTAAAAAGTAATTTGCATAACATGTTTAAGCAAATACGCAACATTTTTAAATTAACGCGAAGCGCAACAATTGCATAACTTTGCGTTTTTGTAGATAAATTTACATAAATTATTTCAATAAAATAAAATTACCATGCATTTTAATTTTTTTATTCTAACTTAGAAAAAACTCTAGAAAAAAAAAATTCAATTTTTTTGAGTTTTAGTACTTGCTCAAACGTGCGAAAAATGGGCTTAAAAAAGGGTAAAAAAGCCTAAAATATGACTTTTGAGGCACTTGAGCAACCCCTAAAAGAGGTCAAAATTTAAAAAAAAAAAAATTCTACTAATAAAATAAGGGTCAACGCAGCAGATAACACTCCATGGTACTTAAAATTTTTTCATGACCTCAAAATGAAGCAGTCTAATATATATATATATATATATATATATATATATATATATATATATATATATATATATATATATATATATATATATATATATATATATATATATATACACTATATTAGTAAAACGCATCTGACTTATTCTTTTATTAGTAGTTGAAGTAAAATAAAATAAAGAGCGTAAACAATTTTCGGAACCTTTTTTTTTTAAATTGCTATAAAGATGTCATATACCACTAAAACAAGAAGTAAATCAGGTTGTCAGCTCAGTAACTTAATTGGATAACGTTCTGAGTTTCTTCCATCAGAACTTTCATCTTCCAGAGATATCCTCAAATATGGCTTATATTTAAGAGAGCTTAGTGAAAAAGATTACTGTTGATCAGCTTGTAAAGGATATTCTTCCAAAAATTTTGTTACAGTGGAAAAAAGCCAATTCTTAATTTGTAAGTCCAGTTATTAATTCTGAAAGAAGAATTAAAAGTAAAGTAAAAGACTTGTGGTTATTGGCCGTTAAAGTTAGTAATGGCGATAATGGTTTGAGTTGTATTTTTTTTTATGGTAGAAAAGATAACACTAAAATTTTTTTTGATGATAAAAGGCAGAAAATTCCCAGGTCTAATAAAAGAAGAACATTATACTGTGTGCAGTGAACCTGGTGGAAATTATCTATTCCATTTTGTTCCTGAAGAATCTGATTTTAAAAGACCTGCTGAGATAATTGCCAATCATTTAACTGAGTGGCTTAAAGAAAGATGTTTACATTTGATATGGGAAGCCATAGGTTGTAATAGTACTAATGTAAATACTGGATGGGCAGGAGGAGTAATACAATGGGTTGAAAAAAAAACTTAACAAAAAACTTGTATGGATTGTATGTGACCTGCACACTGGGGAACTAGGATTAAGAAGTCTTATTAAGTTTCTTGATGGTCCTACTAAAGCCAGCAATCATCGGTCAGGACCTCTGAGTAAGATGTTGAACGATGCTACCAACCTTGAAATTAACCCAGAATTTTCAAAAGTGTGTGAAGGCTCTCCACTTATCTACCTCAGTCTTAAAATTATCAAAGATCTAAGCACCGATCAGAGCTATGCATACCAAATTGTGACATCTATTAAAACTGGAGTTCTGCCTAAGAGACTGGCATTACTAGAAATTGGTCCTGTTTTTCATAGTAGATGGCTAACTACTGCTTTAAGATTTTGCAGAGTCTGGGTGTCTAAACACGGATTAACAGGTGACCTTTTAAATTCGGTTGAGAATGATTGTTGAGTACATAGTAGGTGTGTATGTTCCTAACTGGTTTAACATCAAAGTAAATTCATGCTGGGTGGAGGGACCAATTAACTTACTTAAACAGATGCAATTATTAAAAAATCACACTCAGGAGGTAATTGACATTGTTTTACCCACTTTCAAACGATCAGCATGGTATACTCACCCTGAATCAGTTTTGCAAAGTATGCTCTGTAGTCAAATTGAAGATGAGAGAAAAGAAGCAGTTAATAAAATAGTTGAATTAAGAGGAGCTGGGAATGATGCACTTCATTTTGAAGATTTTTTAGGATTCGAAAGACTTCTTCCATCATCATGAAAGCAACTTGTTTGTCTGAACTTATAGACTGGAGTGATATTACTGAACCACCTTTAATATGTAATCTATCAACTGAAGCAGTGAGGAGATTTATTGACGCTCCAATGAAAGTAACAAAGTGGCCCTCTCATGCACAATCTGTTGAAAGATGTGTAAAAATGACATCTGAAAGTGCTTGTCATGTCTTTGGTCAGGCCGGAAGAAATACTTACATTCAAGGTCAAATAGCTAACAGAGAACTTATGTCAAATAATTCTTGTAAAAAAGATATGTATGGTAAACCTCATTGAAAAGAATTAGTTGCAAATAAGTATGTATGGTAAACCTCATTGAAAAGAATTAGTTGCAAACTAGTAACTTAGTAAACTTGTGCTTAGTTAGATAACTATGACTTGGACTTGTTGTTTTATGAAGTAAATATAAACATATGAGTGTTCAAAAAGTTTAAAGTTCTACATTTTACTCCAAACTCTTTCCAAAATAATGATCTGATATATATTTAGTTTTGGTATTACAAATATGTGTATATACATATATATATATATATATATATATATATATATATATATATATATATATATATATATATATATATATATATATATATATATATATATATATATATATATATATATATATATATATATATATATATATATATATATATATATATATATATATATATATATATATATATATATATATATATATATATAAAGCACACAGTTAATGATAAACATAATTCCTTATTTATCCAAAAAAATATAAACATTGCGAAAAGGAGAGCGTATATTTAAAATATAATTGTTGTTTACACGTTGTTTGTTAAACTTAATTTTGAAACGGATAATTTTGCGGACAAATTTAACTTGCAAAATTTTGCAAGTTAAATTTTA